GAAGCTGACAATATTAAAGTCATACCTGTCCTTCACTGCCTCCTTCTCCTCTTGGACATTTGGCTGTTTTCTATCCCTATCTACTCATCTTTATTTTCTTTTTTAATTTTTCAGGAAATCCTGTTCTCTTGATTTTTCCTGATATTGATTCAAATATTCCAGCAGGAACTCATTGAAAATAAGTATACATGATGGGATATATTACCCTTAATTGACTAAACTAAAGGCCTTTCAACTTGGGGAGTTAGGGCCTTGCCTCCAAGATACCAAGACAATCAGTTGATCCAGCCAATTCAGTCAAGGCTCCAGTAAATTGAGAGAGAGAGAATAATTACCCAGACCTGCTGAGTGCTGCATGCCTCGCTGCTTGGCTGATAGCAGCCCAGACTCCCTTTGTCAATCAATAAGCAATATGAGATCACCGACAGGGACATAACAGTGCTCCAGATACTTAGTGAGCTATTTAAACAAATAGATTCTACATTTACAGAGTTTACAGGATGACAAAAATGAGCCTGGGACTGACTCTGTATAACTAATATTAATGAAGCTTATGTGAAAATTTAATTATTCAATTGAATAATTATTTAATCACTTCTTTCCCTCATGTATAAAAAGCTAACCATTATTTTCTATACTTTCTTTTCCCTTAAGTTTAAATATTTTTCGATTCAGTTCTACAATAGACATGCCTGATGTGGCTTTATAGGATAAACACCAAACTGTGAACCACAAGTTCAGCAGTTCAAACCCACCAGCTGCTCCTAGGAAACCCTGTACCTGGTCTCTATGAGTTGGAATCAACTTGAAAGCATTTAACAACAAGAAGTTCTTAAAGCTGGGTAGACCTAGTTTATAAAATTAGAAATTTTTATTTTGATGAGAAAGATGGGTCATGAATAGGAAGGTATTAAAAGTTCAGAATTTTATTTCACTGGACATAAAAGTCTTTTATTGTAGTTCAGTTCTAAACTAGTGGATCAAAGAGGTCACATCCCCCAAACTAACACATCAGCACATTTTACAGAACAGAACAACCTAATTTGAATGGGAACCAGTTGTTGGGTCAATCTGAATATAAACTGATCCTGTTTTCCTGTTTCTATGGAACTGGACAGAAGATCATTATCTAATACACATGTTAT